AAACAAAAACCCTGACCCGCAGTAAATGAGCAAAAAACATCGATAAAAAACTTTAAATGATTTATTGTTTGGTTCTATTTTAGATTGTACACATACTTTTTTTTTATCGATTGAGTAATATATGCCTGTTTTAAAATTTTGAATCACATCATATGCAAAAAAAAATTAAAATTTTATTAACTATATATCTTTTATGATAATTCAAAATAATATAAAAATAAGATCAAATAAAAGTGAAATGAGAATATATATATATATATATATATATATATATATATATATGTTTAAATTAGGTAGAGAAGTTTTAAGAAATTAGCTCAAATTTGTTATATTAGCAATAAATCATTATATTTGCAAAATATTTTTGGTTTTGCTAAAAACTTAAAGGAAAGATCCGATTGAATATTTCCGAGTCAAAATCAGAAAAAACCTAAGAAATCTTTCTTCTTACCGAGTAAATCTAAACCTAGAAAGGAGTCAAAAGGACGAAGTCGTTCGCAGCACTAACATCTCGTGTCCAAATCTAGTTTGATTAACGATTTGGCAGCAGTATATATTTCCAGGTATATTCTAAATCACCAATTTCGATACTTACTTTTAAAGTTAGTATATTTATAAATCGCTACAAATTGGTTCTAATTCAACCAAAACTAGTAAACTTGATTCAGTTCCATTTTCAGCTTGTCGTTATGGAGTGTGCCTCAAGCGACGTCAATGGTTTGAGCAATATTCACTTGAAACGACTAGAGAATAAGACAAGCTGGGCAATGCTGGATTTGGAAGTTCTCCACTGCCATATTTGCTTCGAGCCACTCACTATTCCAATCTTCGAGGTTGCTTTTCAAATATTGCATAATTATAGATTCATATAATTTTGTATTTTTTTGGTCAATCGTTGCATTAATTAAGAAGATGGTTTTTGGAATTGTAGTCATGATCACTAGCTAGTCTTTTCTTTTTTTTTTTTTTTTTTTTTTGTGCAACACTAGCTAGTCTGTTCATGAGATCTTATTTTCAGCTAAATTTCTATCATTTTTTTTTTTTTTTTTTTTTTCTAAATTTCTATCATATATTTGTTCTTGTGATTGTTGTTGCTATAGGTTTCGTTTCTTGAATAAAGCTTTGATTGTAATTTATTGGTTTTGTATTTCAGTGTGGTAATGGACATTTAGCTTGCTCTTTCTTGCTGTCCCAAACTGAGTAATAAGTGCCCTTCATGTTCTTTACCTATTGGCCACAAATCGCGGTAGAGCAATGGAGAGTGTACTTGAGTCAGTTTTCGTCCCATGCCAAAACGCAGAGTTAGGTTGCACCAAGAATGTCTCTTATGGGAAACAATCATCCCATGACCCGGAATGCATCTTCTCTCGATGCACATGCCCCGCACAAGGATGTAACTTAAAACCCCACGCGCCTGAAATTGTTTTTCTCTCAAATTTTTTTCTCGCCCTTGCCGCAACCTCGAGCGTCTTCTCCGGTGACTGGTGGTTGGTGGCTTCTTTAGCATCACACCGGTCACCCCTCTTTTCTTTTATCGTTGCTCCACTCCGGTGCTTGAGATTCTCGGCCAAGTCTTGTTAGAATTTGTGTCCATGATTAAATCTTGTAATATCATATATGTTATAGTTTGTATGTGAAGTCAACGGATGTCATGTGCTACGTGTTACTTACTACGAAAGGGTGTGAGTAAGACACGTAACTTGTGTGAAAAGTTACAACTCTTACCAACGGTTACTTAGAGTAGTTAGTTATGTACACATCTATATAAGTGTGTATGTTGTCTTATGTAAAAACTGTCGAGAATAATTGAGAAGTTTTTCCACTTTTCAATTCTTTGTTTTCTCTACCATGCTCTGTATTTGAAGCAATGGCTTCTACAATTATACAAGAGCAAAAACACCAACATGGTATCAGAGCTTTAATGATTCAAGGACCAATCGAAGCATTAAGAGAAGCATAAAAAGAATCTGCAAAAAGGTTCAAGTCAAAACAGAGATCATGGCAAGACGTTGCAGCAAGTGATTCACATGTTTGATGGAGAAACGATGGAATCTGGTGTGTAACAAGATGAAGACCATCTTACTATCGACATAACTGTGGCTGGTGGTGAAAGGTGTTCCTAACAAACTGACGCAATCCGAAGAGACATCCGAAGGGGTGCAATTAAGAAATCAAAGGAAGGAAGCGTCAATGGAGGAATTAAGGACACTGTGCAGCACATGAAGATCATGTCTTTTCACAGAATTAGAACACGTATGAAGGTGTGTTCGGTGCTCGACCAAGAAGAAGGGATTCTGGTTTTAAACCAGAAAATCAATAAAAGTGGTGTGAGGTGTAAAAAACACAATCTCACGGAGGAAGCTACCTGTTTTAAGAAACAGAGCAAGGCTTGTTAGCAAAAAGTGGTGTGGAGTCGTTGAGAATGATGTTCACACGGGGAAGCCGCCTGTTGTAAGAAACAGGGCAAGGCTTAGTATCAAAAGGTGTTGTTGAGTTGTGAAGAACACTGCAACACGGAGTAAGCTTCTGTTGGGAGAACAGTGCAAGGCTACTCCACAAAAAGGTTCAAGGGAACCGATGTCGTCAACGAGACGTGGAGAAAGTTTGTTTTAAAAAGTAAGAAACAAACGTAGCGACAAAAGTCAAAATAGAGCCGAGAAATGGTGTGACTTTTGTACGTGTGACAATCACAATGGGAGTGATTGTTGGAGAAAGCAACACAACGATGTTAGCTTGCCTACGGGTGTTAAGGCTGCTTACCTAAGAGAAAGGGAGCAGAGGCCGGTTGCAAAGATAACCGAAGAAGACGTGAAGATGTTCACGCACAAGACGTCACAGAGACGTGATGGTGATCAAAGGAAGACACCAAGCAAAAAGTTGAGATGCTTACCTAAGAGTGAAAGGAAGCATTGGCTGGTTGTATAGACAACCGAAGAAGACGTGGAGAAGATTCACGTACAAGACGTCACAGAGACGTGATGATGATCAAAGGATCACATATTTGGTGATCATCAAGAGGACACCAAAAGGGAAAGAGAAGAAAGCTCACTTAAGAGAAAGGGAGTGGAAGAAGGTTGCAAGAACAGCCGACGAAAACATGATAAAAGATCACGGAGAAGACGTGAGGAAAGTTCATGGAGACTTCAAGAAAAACGTGAGAGAGATCACGGGTAAACTTGAAAGTGACTTGGAGAAGACTTTCTGGGGAATGGTCAACATGTAATGACGGCAGGAAAAGGAAATATCCAAGTGATGACAAGCCAAGGAGAGAATATCATCAAAGAGGTATTTCTAGTGCCGGGTTTAGCGAGTTGAGTGTTTCTCAAATGATATCCAATGGACACGGAGTCTTATTTGAAGACAATAAATGTATCATCAATAATCCTCAAGGAAGAAGGATATTGGATATTAAGATGAAGCAGAAGAGTTTTCCATTGAGATGGAGAAAGTCGGACACAAGTGCTTTACTTGCCAGTGAAGAAGAAGTAAAGAAGGTCTAGAGGGAGATAGAGAAGGGAAGCTTACCAATGTCGTCAAAGGGATTCAACCTAGAGAAGAGGTAAATCACCAATGTGAAGAAGAATCGATGGGATAAATGATGAAATCCCTAGATTGAAATTGGGGATTTAATCAATGGACTCAAGAGGGAGTGTTAGAATTTGTGTCCATGATTAAATCTTGTAATATCATATATGTTATAGTTTGTATGCGAGACTAGGCGATTTGATGAACATTTCTCTGTCGGCAACTTCTGCTTGAGGACAGTGGCAGGACTATTAGGAGGATGTTCTGACGTGGCACGTCTGGTTTGTTCACCGTCTCGAATGCTCTTTTTGTGCCTTCAGGTGGCTGCTGTGATGTTTGATTTGTTGATGACTTAGTCGTCGGTGGTGACTTGTTGATCATCTCCAATTGATAACGTCACTTGTATATCTTGACTTGTTGATTTTGCTCAAACCCAGGTTTTGTTTGTGTCTTGCTAGTGTTGTTGTTTTGAGTCGAAGTAGGCTTTGCTTTGAGTACTCGCCTTTTTGCGTTTTGCTTTGTGCTTTAGAGGAGCTAGTAAGGCTTTTGGCGATTCGGTGTGGTTGTGCTTTGTGTTATCTTGCTCTGTGCTAGCTGACTTCGGGGAATGAACTTGGTAGAGGGAGCTCGTACCGTTTCGCATATTTTGGCTTGTGAGGTTCCGTTCAGGGAAAGCTCATTGGATATGTTCGCAGAACCGGTCTCACATGACGGGAGGAGTATGTGATCGAGGGCTTTGAGTTCTATGCCGTTGACGGCTCGGTCTCGGACCTCCTTTGAAAGGCTTCTGAAGCTAAGCGTCCTGTGAATCTAGGTGTTTACAATTTGCAGTCGCCCTTCTTCTTCAGCAACTAATCCGGGAAGAACAATAAAATCGTCATCGCTTCGTCTAACTCCCTTAGCCTCGTTGCTTTGGTTGAGTGGATGGACCGAGTTCTTTGGCTTCCAAATTATGCTTCCATGTTTTAATTTTTTTGCCATGGGACCATTTGTATAGGTCTATAATCTTTGATTGTAAACCTAAACTGTTTTCATTTTCTATGAAATATTTACCTTCTTAGCAAAAAAAAAAAAAGGATGTAACTTCACTAGCTTATACAAGGATCTCTACGGTCACTATAAGTCTTATATCCACCACCTTCAAAGCTACGGGCAAGAATACATGCGTAATAGGTTTAGTTGTGGCATTTACTTTAGCGCCAAGATGAACATCAGCGATAAGATATTAATTAAATATGAGTATAACAAGGGACTATTGTTTGCGGTACAGTGTTTTAAGGAGCGGGACGGTGTGTATGTAACGGTAAGCTGCATGCAGCTTTTACTTCCAAAGTCTTTGGAGCCTGAGAAGTGAGGGTAAAACTCATCTCTACTGCTTTCTTTTCATCTTTCTCAAAAAAAAAAGTTTGATTTCTCTTATTCATATGTGTACGTAAATGTAAAGTTAAAACTGTTTCAGTTCCATTTTCATCTTAAGTAAAGCATTTCGATATGGAGGGTTCCTCAAGCGGTGTTAAAGGTTCGAGCAACATTAACTTGCAAAAGAAGCAACGAACAGAGGATAAAACACGTCCGGCGATGTTGGATTTTGATGTTCTCGATTGTCCTGTTTGCTTCGAGCCACTCACTATTCCTATCTTCCAGGTTAGGTTCGATCGACTTTCGAATATGTTAAGGCCGAGACTTTATTTAGCATGCTCTTGTTCCTTTGATGGTTACCTGATGTAAAGTCAAGTGGATAATGCGTTGTTAGGTTTTCTTGAATATTGATTTGATTTTTATTTCATTGGTTTTGCTTTTCAGTGTGATAATGGGCATTTGGCTTGCTCTTCTTGCTGTCCCAAACTGAGTAATAAGTGCCCTACATGTACTTTGCATGTTGGCAACAAACGTTGCAGAGCAATGGAGAGTGTTCTTGAATCAATCTTTATCCCATGCCCAAACGCCAACTTTGGATGCACCAAAAGTATATCTTATGGGAAAGAATCAACTCATGAAAAGGAATGCATCTTCTCTCAATGCTATTGCCCTGCATTGAATTGCAATTACACTAGCTCATACAAGGATCTCTACACTCACTATCGTACAACCCACATGGAAGTAGACCAGCTTAATAAGTACATTTGTGACATTCCCTTTAGTGTCCGGATGAACATCGGCAGCGATAAGAATATAATAATTAGAAAGGAATACACAAAGAGACTCTTGTTTGCAGTGCAATGTTTTAGGGAGCCGTGTGGTGTGTATGTAACCGTAAGCTGCATTGCACCATCTGCTCCTGAAGTAGGACAGTTCTCATATCATCTCTCCTACACTGTGGATGGACACACTATAACTTATGAATCACCCGAGGTGAAGAGAATTCTTAAAGTGAGCTCCCAAAGACCTCAAGAGAGTACTTTAGTAAAACTACTATTTATAACAAATGAAGGTAGAGTAATAGAGTTTGGAGTAGCATAAGAAACTTATAAGTTAAGGTGTACGTATAATATGATCCATTGTCTGGCTCTTGACATATACTGGAATAATGTTTAATTACAATATCTATCATACATGATATTGAGTGCTTTGTGGAGGAGTTATGATGAGGGAGTGTCAAAGTAATTCTAAAACTAATTATATTAAACTGAAACTAATAGTAAACTGAAATAATATTAAATTTTAGAAATCTATTTGAAGAGAGATTATATATAAGGGTTTATTTTATTTTTTTAATGAGTAAGAGATTTTGGGTCTAGGTTAAGAATATCTATTCAGTTCAAGAAGCATTATAAGGTTTTTTTCTAAGTGTCATTCAAACCAACGATCTCTAGACTTTGCTTGAATTTTTTTTACCAATTTAGCTATTTAGCTATTGACACTTGGAAACAAAATGAAGAGAAGACTTTTGGGTTTACGATTGCAAGCTAGCGAGGATCTAAATATTTGACCTCTCGCTTTTGAAAACTTTAAACAACCTTTTAGCAACGTCTACGTTCTCTACTTCTCTTATAGTTTAAGAGAATGCAAATTCTGATTTGTTATTTTCACCCAAATTCGATTTTAACAGCTTTAGGTTCTAGTTAGTTACGTTATAATTTGGTTTAATATGCGGTTTAATATTAAATTGTTAAATTTTTTTTAAAAAAAAATTGTTAAATTTCTAAGAGACTAGAATATCAAAATTTATATGCGGAAGCAATAATATATGTAAAGAAAAATTAGTTGACATGGGATTTAATGAGGTATTGATCGATTCTTTCAAATCCAATCACTAATTCTCGGCTGCCAAAATAGTTTATTAGATACCATTAAAAAACAAAATATAAATTACATCTACCTTATACATGACTAAGATATCACGAGTAAAACATTTACTCTCCATTAATCATGGATGTCTTTTTCTCGTGGAAGTCCTTGCTGCGTGCTCCTCACAGCGGTAACAACTTCTTCCCAAAAATACCTCACTAAAAAAACTTATTATTGTGCCAGCAACTTCTTTGTTTCCATTCTCTTTTTAGAAAGGGCAACTAAAAGACCTTCCTTTTAATAACACATCTTTTACGGTTCAGCTCAAGGGTCTACTTACACCACAAAATTAATCCACTCTTAATGTACTTAGGGTTTGATTGGTTCTCCTGCTAGAACCCGCATAGCGATTGTTAGCGGTCGGTTGCGGTTGTTAACGGTTGATACTAATTGTAAAAACTGCTCCATACCGTTTTAGACTGCTCAAAATCGCTGAATTTCAAAAGCTCTTTTCCGCAAGCGTATGCGGTTGCGGTTGGTTTAAAAATGAAAGAAACTAAAAAAAGAAAATCAACAAATTAAAATATATATTATCAAATCATATATATATATATATATATATATATATATATATATATATATTCGCATTAATTCTAAAAAAAAATTATTATCTAACTTTAATTTTCCAATATTAATAATTATTTATGTTTTACTATAAAATTATTTGTTTTAATATTTGAATAATTATGTAGTAGTTATTTATGGTTATTAATTATTAGTCATGTTTAAAAAAATTATACTTTTTCATAAATATAGTTTTTGGTGTTTTTATAGTTTCACAATTATATTTTACATTTATTTTGGTAAATTTTGGTTTAACGGCTATCGTATCCACTGATCAACTAGTCGTAAATCTTCCACAAACGCACCTGTTTTCAACCGCTATAAATAACATTAAAACCGCAATTGCCCGCTTTCGCAAATACTCATAGCTGCAATCGCAACCGCTGCGTTTAAATCAGTCAAGCCCTTAATGCCCCAACCATTTTTTCCTTGCAACACAATAGGAAAAAAAATAAATCACCAAGTTAATTTAGCTAATGATCTGTAGATACCAAAGAAATCAAGTTTCAAGACTATGATAAGATTATAAAAGAAGACAGACATTATGACAACTTTCTCACTACACAAGACTATCTCTAAGCAAGTCATACATTATTAACAACTTTTAGATAAAAATCATTGTTAACGACTTCTATAAAATTTCTCGTTTATCCAATGAAACTGCAGATTCTACCGCTAAACTTTTCACTCTGTAATTTTGGTGACCATGGAGCTTTATCCTCCGGTTATGCACTTTCGGTTAGTTTTCGCTTTTGACAAAAGAAAAACAAATTTTAAATAAAAATTATATATTTTGCTATCATAAAAAATAAAATAAAACATACACTATCAAGAGTAAATATACAGTTATATTATTTTATTTTTGGTAGAAATATACAGTTATATTATTTTAGTTTATAAAAACTACTAGAAATAACTTTAAGATTTAATAAAATTGTTTCCTCAGTTATGTTTTCTGTTATGATGATCTCAGATTTGGGCCTCGATTGGGAATTGAAGAATCATCGAAGCCCATATTAACTATAGTTTGTGCCATTGTCTATTTACAGTTTGTGCCATTCTCTTTTGGTATTTATTCTCTCTCTCTTTTCTCTTTATTGCTCTGCACTAAATTCTCTATTTTCCTCTCTCAATTTCTGATCAGAGTAAAATCAAATTAGGGTTTAGCCATCTCTCCGATATGGTTGGAGCCGCGATTTCGGAATCTTCCGGCGAAGGAATTGGATCTAACAGCATTCTCTCGCAAAAGAGACAACTTTCTTCCAGTGATGGAGCCAAGAGAGACGCTAAAAAACGCTCGATTATGCTAATGGAACTGGAGATTCTCGATTGTCCTATTTGCTACGAAGCTTTCACAATTCCTATCTTCCAGGTTTTGTTACTTCTCCGATTGATTCAAAGAATTTCTGTTTTGATAACTAGAAGTGGTTCAAACTCATTAGGAAGAAGAAGAAGTTGGAATTGTGCCCATTTACTAGATTTTAAGAGTATCCTTAGTATTGCAGAGACTTTCTGTTTTGGTAATTAGAATTGATTGTCAAGCTTTTGATATGTGTGTTAGACTCTGCATATAGTTGTAACTGTGGCCATTTACTAGATTCTAAGAGTATCCTTAGCTTTTTATGATTTTGAGGATTCTAGTGAACTTTTGAAAGTGATGTTAAAGAAACTCATATTCATTAGAAGTTTCTGTTTCTGTTTTGGCAACTCATTAGGAAGGAGAAGAAGTTGGAATTGTGTCCATTTACTAGATTTCAAGAGTAACATTAGCTTTAATTTTTGATGATTTTGAGGATTCTAGTGAACTTTTGTAAGATATGTTCATGTTTGCAGTTGTATAGTTCTTGAAAATATGTGTATAACTCGGCAAGATTGAAGTCTATATCGGGAATCATTTACGGAGAGTACATCATCCATAGTCGATGAATATTATCTATACGTTGTTAGAGCTTTTAATCACAAGTTATTGGTTTTGAATTTCAGTGTGATAATGGACATCTGGCTTGTTCTTCTTGCTGTCCCAAACTGAATAATAAATGCCCTGCTTGTGCTTCGCCTGTTGGCCACAATCGCTGCAGAGCAATGGAGAGTGTTCTTGAATCGATCTTGGTCCCATGTCCAAACGCTAAGTTAGGTTGCACAAAGAAGTTCTCTTATGGGAAAGAATCAACTCATGAAAAGGAATGCATCTTCTCTCAATGCTCCTGCCCTGCATTGGATTGCAATTATACTTGCTCATACAAGGATCTCTACCGTCACTATCATACTACCCACTTGGAGGTATATCATCTTAATAAGTTCTGTTGTGGCAGTTTCTTTAGTATCCGGATAAACATCAGCGAGAAGATGTTAATTAGACTGGAGTACACAAAGGCTCTTTTGTTTGCGGTGCAGTGTTTCCAGGAACCGTACGGTGTGTATGTAACTGTAAGCTGTATTGCACCATCTGCTCCAGAAGTAGGAAATTTCTCATATGATCTCTCCTACACTGTGGATGGACAAACTATGACTTACAAATCGCCAAAGATGAAGATGATTCTTGAAGTGAGTTTTCAAACTCCTCAAGAGAATTTCATGTTGATCCCTAACAATTTATTGCGTGGTGACATGTTGGACATGAAGCTTTTAATCAAGGAGTTGAAGCAAGAGTAAGAAGGTTGTGCTTGTGGTATTCTTAACCCGCCCGCCCATGCTTGATGAGGGTTGTAGCTCGATTACAGATGTTAATTGTAACTCGTTTGATTTTGCATTTACTGTAATGTTAGTGTTGCATTTCTGACCTCTTCACACTCTTTGAGGTCTGCTCCCTCATTCTCTCATGTATCTCTGTTTTAACAGAAACACAAGGAGAACCTTACTCTCTCTAACTCCTTATTCTTTGTTTTGTTTCTTGTTCTAACAAAGGCATAAGCGTTTAGTAAGAGAGTAGAGAGAAAACATTAATTGTATACATTTTGTTTATTGGATCAAGAGATAATCTTTCTTACAAGACACACTCACATACATAAACTACTTATACTTAAAACACACTTGCACTTAGACCTAATCATGACTCAACCTAACACTTACATCATACTTTAGATCATGCTTCTACTAACAGCTCACCTTAGACTCTAACAACTCCAACAACTCACTTCAATTCTTTTTTTTTTTTTTTTTTTTGGACAAACAACTGACTTCAATTCTAACTTACAAATTACAATACACTTCTTCACTTGGGTCTTAATTCATCTTTAGCCCATTACAAAAACACTCAAGCCCAGCTTCTTCTTGTTGACTTGTGCTTCTTCTCCTCTTGTGTCGTTGACTCTCTTCACGACAACTTCATCTTCTTCGATGCGTCTTCGTCTTTTGCTTGAGCTTCTTCTTTGCTCTTCTTCTTCTTCTACGTCTTCTTCTTCTTCTACGTCTTCTTCTTCTTCATGTTCTCATTAAAATAGTTGTGAAATGTTTTGTTGGTCAGAAACCACCAAATGTCTAACTGTTGGATTTGAACCTTTGATTCACAACTATGCATAGGCCAAAACTGGAGTATATTTTTCTTTGGTTTCGTTAGGTTCTATAGAGTGTGATTCTTAATGCCTAGCCTAAGATGTGGTGGTTGTGGTATTCCAATCATCCAATCATCCACTTAGACGTAAAATTGTCAATGATCTTCCAATCACCGACCTTTAAAAACTTTTGATATGTTCCGATAAATGCCTCCCTAATGGTGGCGTGCATCTTAGTACCCTGTTTAAAAAATGACATCTACATTAAATTTAAAACATAGAATTGAAATAATTAAATTTAAGAAATATATAATACATTTTCATCACATAAAACAACATCTAAAGTCTCTCCTGATGATTGATATTGCCTCCACATGTGGAGAACCTTCACACGGACACGCTAATTTGATTTGAAAGGTTTTACATCTTTGAGGTAAGTTAAACCGAGTGGTAAACACATTTGTAAATGTTTGGAACTATAGTGGAATTGTGATGGTTAAGGGCTTGATTGGTTCTCCCGCTAGCACCCTCCTAGCGGTTGCTAGCGGTCGATTGCGGTTGTTAGCGGTTGGTACCAATCATAGAAACCATTCTGTACCGCTCGAAATCGCTGAATTTTAAAAGCTCCTTCCCGCAAGCGTTTGCGGTTGGATTTTTTTTTTTAAAAAAAAAAATCAAACGTTTACTTATAATTATTATAATATATATTAATCCTATATATATCTTTCATCTTTGTATCACGTTCTCATCAGAAACCCTAATCTATACTATTAATTGGGAAGCACTCAAACATAAATAACCTTATAAAATGTAAAGTATTACAAAAATGCCATTGTTTTTTGTTTTTAAATAATATATTTAAATAAAAATAGTAAAATTCTTTAAAGTAATTATTAGTTTCCAAAAAATTAAACTCACTTTCTCTCTCATATTAATTATGGACGAAAATTAAAAAAAAAATTCTAAAAAGTTGTTAACCAATGAGAATTGAAAAAAATAAGATTTGATATCCAACTAAAATTTTATCTAAACCAATCCTAATAAACTATTCTATATCAAAAATAAAAAGAAAAATAATACCATTTTAATTCAAAATATAAAAACACTATCGTTTAAAAAGTTTTTTATCAATGGAGAATTTTAATATTGAATTTGAAATTTCATATAAAAATTAAATACAAATATTTATGACTCAGTTTTGTTATAATATTTTCACAAATTTTGAGATATAAAACAAAATTTTATTTCACAATTTAAAAAAAAACGATATTAGATATTAACAAATATTTATATTTACTATGAAATAAACTCAAATAATGATAAATTTAAAGTAATTATCGTTATTGCCTTCGTTTAGAGAAAGTTTCGGAAATATCTAAACAAAAGATTGTACATATTAATTTCGAAATATTTTGTGTTTTTTTTTTTCTTTTCAACCGGATCTTCCTTAAACAAATCCATAATATATTGCACACAATTTTCGAAATAATGTGAACTAATTATATATTTTGCATTCAAAACAAATTATGCAGCAATAGTATATCCCTTTTATAGATGTATCTCAAATTTTAATTTTAGTCCCAAAAATCGAATTAATTATGATTAAACAATGAAAAGAAAAATATGCAAAATTTAGCTAGAAACACTAATAAATTTGTTTAAATATATTTGTAACTTTAACGGTATACATATTAATCCGCAAAACTCACAATATATATTATAATATTATATGATATTTAAAAGTAAGCAAACAAGAATTTGGAATATGATTTTAATGGAATAAAATGGAAATAGAAATTACGAGACGAGATGGGAGGGGAACATATATTAAAAATCAAACTAAATACCCAACTGGCATGAGTTCGGGTTATGAGCACTATATAAAATAAATTTGTTTACACATGTAACCATGTACATACATTTTCAATTACACATACTCTATTTATGACAGATATGGGACTATAATATTTTTATTTTACGTATACGTGACAAATTATGGGACAAAGAATTTATGACGGATACCGGACGGGATATTTTCATGTTCCAAAATAGTTACGCCTAGCTAATATACATGAAATAACCCAAACTAAAACCAAATTCATATCCTATTTAACATATGTAATCATTAGAACTGTTTTGATTAGTTAAGAAAATAAAAATGTAACACCACTTAACTTTTGCAACTAAATTAGTCCGGATCTTAAAATATAATTATGCATTAACGCAACTGAATTTTGTTCATTACTCTAACTTATAATATTTATACTATTACGAAGTTCACTAACACAACAAATATTTTATATTTTTAAATCTCTATAAAAATTTCTATAAAAATATCTCTACACGTATGTGGATCCAGATCTAATACACTAAAATATATATCATAAAAAGTTAAAAACAATAAAATAATCTATATTTAATTAAAATTTGTTAAAAAAATTTTAAAATATGAAACCCCGCACGTATGTGCGGGTCATGATCTAGTAATATTCTGAAACCCTATTCTCTCAATGTCTTCTACCCAAAGTGATGAAAATCAATAACCAAACGTAAGTATCATATATCCTTTTATTCATTCATCACCTCATGTGTAACTTTTTGAATATTGTTCATGGCATCGTTTTTTTTCTTTTCATTACGTATTGCTTTGTTTTTTGATTGAATATATGTTTCGATTTGTTTTCTCGAATAGAAACTCACTTGCTTTTTGATTGAATTCAACGTTATTTACAGTTTGTCCCATTACTTGATGCAATTTTTGATGTTAAACCAGATGCATAAAGTACTATCTTGTTACAAATCTTTTTTTATTTTTGAATAATTATTTAGTACTTTATTTATGGTTTTAATTCTTAAGCATGTTCAATTTTTCTAATATTATCATAATAATATATTGGTTTTTTTTATTTCTTTTTTTTGTAATATTTTTTTATTTATTTTGGTCATTTTTTTATTTAACTGCTACCGCATCCGCTGGTTTACCAATCATAAAATTTCCGCAAAGGCACCCATTTTCAAACGCTAAACCAGTCGTTCAAAACGCTTGTTAACGCTTGAACCCGCAACCGCCCGCTTCCGCAAACTCCCGCAACCGCAACTGCAACCGCAGCGTTTAAACCAGTCAAGCTCTAAAGAAATGAAAAGAGTTGACACATATTTATACTATTAAGGTAGACGGCTATGACATAGATGCAAAGATAGGGTTTGCACGTAATGATATGCTACCTAAATATCTTGTTATAAAGAGAATATAGAAATGATGCCTTTTTTATTGGTATTCGCAAATGTAAATTCGATATTCAGAATATTTTGTTGTTTTAATTTATTGTTAGCAACGATATCGAGAATATTAGAAAATCTTTCTAGTAATATTGAGTTTCTATTTTTGCATAACTCCCATATATTGTTGTGATTAAGAGGCGGAAAAGAAAAAATTTAAAAGATCAGGAACATGTAATCGGGTGAAAACTTGAACTGACCCATCGTCTGATTTTAGATTCGCGAGTTTGTAACAGATCAAGTAATTTAAACGGCTCAGATGTGGCTCAATTGACATGATAAAATTACCATTATACCGTTAAAAAAAATTTGTTTGAACTAAACCAGCCGACGAAAATGAAATTGGCTCAATTGGCTTGTCATTTTTCTTGTCCTGTTATAAACCACATGTTGGATGGACTCCATAACCGTGGGCCTTATGCATATTCTAGAAGGCCCATGCCCATGTTCTAGAAGATTCTCCTTTTAGGATCCATTTTATACTTAGTGGGCTTTTGGGCTTTAGGGTTTACTAACCCAATGAGGATTTGTCTCCTCTCATTATGTATATATGTATAACGAGTTTCATTCATTAATAGAAGAGAAAAACAATAAGTTTACAACACGTTATCAGCACGAGTTGCTCTTAACAAAACCCTAAAAACCCTAAACCTAAACTCGCCGAGTTCGCCCACCGCTTGAAGCTACCAACCGCCGACCACTCGCTTTGCTCTTTGATCGGCGATCTCCTCCTAGCACCACACGTTCGTGATAAGCTTGATAACCGAGGTCTTTAGCTCCCGGTTCCAATCCATACAACCCCAAAAAGGTGAAAGGTAAAAACCAAAACCCTAAAAGCTAAAGAACCGATTATGAATTTGAACCTAACGAACGGTGGAAACCCTAAAACGAGTCTTGATTGCTTAAGTGATCGCTATTACTTGTGAAAACTGATTATGAACTTGAATCTAACGATCGGTAGAAACCTAAAACGAACCTTGAATGTTTAAGTAATCTTATTGCTTGTAAGATCCGTTTGTTTGAATCGTTTAGGTTGCTAGAAAAGGATTGATTATTGCTTAAACTAAACTCGCCTAAGTTACTAGACAAGTTCTATTGTATAAACGATTGCTTCTTACTTATGAAAACCGATCATGAACTCGAAATTAACAAACGGCTAAGACACTAAAACGAATCTTGATTGTTTAAACGATTGCTATTGCTTGTGAGATCCGAT